TGAATGAATAAATATTAAAAGGTTTATAAAAATAAAATATTTTAAAAATTAAAAAAAAAAAAACATTTTCGGTTTTCGGTCTGACATTTTGTTTCGGTTTCGTTTCGGTTTGGAAATTTCCATTTCAGCGCACCTCTGGTCACAACCCATTAAAATGCAAGTACATTTTGCAGTGCACATCAATGTGAGTGTGGTAATACACTGCAAAGGTCTGAAAGAGCACTTAAAGTTACTTGAAATTCATTAAAAGTGAACTAAATGGTCTAAGGCCTGAAAATATAACCAGCAGATGTCTCCTCCATCCTGTACAGAGTATGGAAGAATCAAAGCATTTCCAAGTAAAAGCATTTAGTAAGCTGCAAATTCTGTTCAGCAAAGGCTGACACAAGTCCAGTCTATTTCCTTTTCTATATCAATTTCAGTTGATTGCAGCATGTAATGCGGATTGCAGCCCCTTGTCATTTTGTGGCGGGCAGCTCTCCTCCTGCAGAGCTCTACGTCTGTGCACACAATACTTGCAGGAGATTGCAATCAGACTGGATAAAAGGGTATGAATAATTTTGTGTCTGAATGATCAAAGTGTGCATATGCTATGCATTTTTAGTAAGCCAGAACTGGAAAATGTAGAATACCTAGCTAGCATATCAACAGACTTTATAACACTAACCTACACAATACTAGGTTATTGGTGACCATAGGGATTCCATTGAAAGTGGGACTGAATCAATGGCACAGAATCAACGCCCAGATAAAAATTAGAGGCACCGTACAGGTAGATTGCCAGGTAGTCTACCTATACAATGGACTTATGATTGCTAAGGGGTGGATTTCTCCTAAAGCTCCCCTGCACTCAGAGGGCCTATAGTGGACTCATGATTGCTAAGGGGTGAATTTCTCCTAAAGCTCCCCTGCACTCAGAGGGCGTCCCAAGTCACTGGAGTCACTTGCAAGCAGGTATTATTACAATTACATTTAGCTGACGTTTTGCAGGAGATGTTTTATTAAGCACACCTTTAGGACTAAACTAAAAAAGGTTCACCCCGTGTAGAGCTGGGAAAATGCTGTTTGCTTGACATTGCTACCACTAGATAGAGCCATGGCGATTAGAAAATTCCTCGGCTCCATCTAATGGCATTAATGCCGTGCGAATGGCATTCACCCAGTTTTAAAATAGGCAAACCCTTAAAAAAAAACAGCCCCAATGTGTGTAGGACAATATTAAGAAAGATGATGGGGGTTAAAGATATATTAAGCCGCCAATCAGAATTAAAACGTTTTAAAAGTACAGCTGTGATTGGGTAATGGCTAATGAATCAACATCATTACACCAGACTCACTCCTAAGTACCAGGAAGGTGCAAAGCTAAACAGCAAAATATGGCAGAGACATCAAAAATCAAAGTGGTGGAAAGGAATCACACATACCTTGTCAGGAATAAATAGTATCTCAATCATGTATTTAGCTTGTTGTCTGGGGTATTGCTTTATTGTTGTTCGATATCTGTTTGTTAAAGATAATGATTTAGTATCAAATATTAGATGAAGTTGATTTCTTTGTGTTTCAGGCCAAGAATTGAGCAGAACAGCCCTCTTAAAGCCCTGCTCTTTGACTCCACCTTTGATCATTATAGAGGAGTGGTAGCCAATGTTGCCCTCTTTGGTGGGGAGGTGAGCAAAGGCCACAAAATTGTGGCTGCTCACTCCGGGAAGAACTATGAAGTCAGTGAGGTTGGCATACTGACTCCTGAGGAACTGCCAGCTGATAAATTGTAAGTATTTTTATATTGTTAGGAGATCATTACTAGTAGGTGAAGTGATCTGGTGTTCTACATATAGAATTACAGTTTATATACTACTTGTGAAAAGTTTTTATTCAGGTCCCATGCACACAGGAATTAAAATACATGCTTCCAGGCACATTTGGAGCTCATTTCTAACCTGGAAGCATGTAATGCTTTTCTATGGCTGAATGCACACCTAGACATTCAGCAGTGTCTAGGTGCGTTCAGTCTAGCTCAGTTTACACACAAAAAATATTTTCTGCACCTCTGGACTTTTTAGTCCGCTTTTATGTGAAACCCAGGAACATCTTAACGTTGGAAGAAATGATCTGGGGAGCATATGTTGTATTTACTTTCCAGATAACCCGTGTTTGACGCATGAGGCCTAATGATGCTTTCTGTGTGTGTTTGTGCAATACATGTATAATATTTATTGACACTTATTGCATTTGATCTAAAAGATATTACTTGCTTGAATTACTCTTATTTGATTTATTAAGTGATCCTATTTTTCATAGGTACGCTGGTCAGGTGGGGTATCTAGTAGCTGGAATGAAAGAAGTACAAGAAGCACAAATAGGAGACACACTGTATTCATACAAGCAGCCAGTGGCGCCACTGCCAGGGTTTAAAGCCGCAAAGCCAATGGTGTTTGCAGGTGAGATGAATTTGGTTGGGTTCTGATTAACAATTTTCATAGTCAATACAAAACCATAAGGTCCATTGTATTCAGACATTCAAAGAAGGTAGTTGGCATGTATTTCTGACTAGTACCAAGTGGGCCTCAAGTGCTTGGTCTGATAGATGGTACACATGTACATGGGGGCTGGCATGACTTTGAGTCCTCACACCCCAAGCATTAAATACAACATTGTGATAGTAATCGCTATTGCTCTTCGTTCATTGCTCTTAATGCATAGTATTGAATGCTTTTCTGTAGCACTTGGCAATAGGAGAATAACATTAAAAATATAATCTGCCGTTAGGGAACATTTCCTCTCATTCAGTAGCAATTAGACTGAATTCTGTTCCTTTTAATATGTTTTACCTTGAGCAGGTTCCATTGGAATGTAGTGGTTATATTGTGTTCTGTCATATGTCATATGTATTGTGCAGAAAAATTGCAGGTTACTGCATATAGTGTGAACACAGCCTTAGGCAAGCCAATAAAATATTATTGGGAACTAATGTATTTGTCATTCATATTGTTCTGTATACATTGCTATGCAGTCAGGAATAGCAGCCATGCCGTGTTTTCTTCAAAACTTGTGCTTTGGTGCAACTGTGATCCCTGACTACAAAATGTCCTCCATCTATACTGTATTACTCAGACTTGCTTGCAGTGACATGCAGAGAAGGGGGTTCTGCACAGGAAAGCTGCATGTTTGAATTGTTCAGCATTGGGGTTGATTTACTAAAGCCAAAAAATGCTGTTCACTTTACAAGGGAATTTTTCACTGAGCTATGTGAATGAGGTGACGCTCAGCTGTCTTCCATTATCCAATCATGTGCAAGCAAACATACTGGTTTTTATTTTTCGTGCACGTGATTGGGTATTCTTTGCTATGTGCATTTTTACCACATTCCCTTGCAAAGTGAACCGCTTATTAGCCTTTAATAAACCAACCCGTTTGTTGGCACAGATACATTTGCACTGTGGTTTTGTTATGGGGTAGTTTGACATATAAATAACCCTTCTTGAAATTCTTCATTTATTGTCACCTTAACTCAAATAATTTTTAGAGAAACATATGTGGATTTTTTTTTTCTCGAAGTTTAATTTCTATTCAAATTTTAAAAGACTTTGAGGAACCATTCACCCTATTAATCTTTCACAACATTTGTTCTGTGTGAATAGACACAAAAATGAAAGTTCTTAGATAAACTGTACTTTTTTTTTTTTCAGGTTGCATCTATGTAATGCACTACTGCATTGTGACCACTAGATGGAGCTGTGGAGCATAGGAAATAAATATATCTAAGAACATTCATTTTTGTGACTAATCAGACAGAACAAACGTTCAGAAAGAGTCCAAAGACGAATGGCTCTGTAGACCCCTTTTTAATGAGATTCTTGTACACATTCTTTTATATTCTATCATTGGCAGCTGGTCTCATTCCATGCTTAAGAAAATTAACTTAATTATTTTTGAAAATGAAGAACTACACAGTTGGTTTTCTTTTTTTTTTTTTTTAAATGATACTGTACTGCAAATGCATTTAGCAGGAACACACAGTGAGGAATTTATCAAATCTGGAGCAGACAGAATCTGGAGCAGTTGTCCATCATAACCTATCAGCATCTATCTTTCATTTTCAAAGCTTAAAGGAGAACTATGGGGTTAGGGCTTTTCCCCATAGTTCTCCTTAGGGTAACGGGAGGACACAAACTAGCGTCCTCCCGTCACCCTAAGCTCAGTATACCGCGAGCTACAGCTCGCAGTATACTGAGATGCCGCAGTATACTGGGACGCAGCAGCTAAAGCGGATCCCGACAATTATGTCTGGATCCGCCCAGCTGTGTGAGTGACAGCTGACTCTGCCTATCTAGAGGCAGAGCCAGCTGTACACGCCCCCTCCCCCATCCGTTCCGCCAGTCAGCGCTGGAGGATCGGAGCGGGTAGGGGGGAATCCAGTCCCTCCCCTGTCACGGCAGAGAGCCGTGACAGGATCGAGAGGTGAGCGAACGCCGGTATTTGTTCGCTCACTTCCCGATCTACTGAGCCGACCTGTGACAGTCTCATTGCCACAGGTCGGCTAGAACTATGAGGGTGAGTGAAAAGCACTCACCTCATAGTTCTCCTTTAACTGAACAAACTGAAGATAGAAGCTGATTGATTGCCCTGGGCAACTGCTTCAGATTTTGTCTGCTCCAGTTTTGATAAACTCCCCCCATAATTTCAATTTGAAAAATTGCCCCCATAATTTTTATAAACCTATTAAAAAATTAAATAAAATGATTCAGCATTGGGACCTCAGACACTGACAGGATTGTGCCACATTGTCAGGAATTGTTGGTGCACTGCGGATTGATACGCAATGGTGATAAATAATGCATGCAAAGTCTCTCTTCAGTTTGTCTTTGAAGTTTTTTTTTTCTCTAGGCTGAATAATAAACTGAGATAAAATATTTGGATAATAAAATTTGAGATAAATATGTATCAGTTTTTATTTGACATGTCTCGTGTTGTGGAAGGTATGTTTCCGGTGGACCAATCAGAATATAACAATTTGAAAAGCGCTTTGGAGAAGCTGACGCTGAATGATTCCAGCGTGTCTGTTACCCGGGACAGCAGTGCAGCACTTGGAGCAGGATGGAGGTCAGTGTGCTGTCTGATAGGATACAAGAACAGTATTCGTATGTCTACAAAGAATGACAGAGCAGATCAATCTTGGAAAAGTCAAATATTATTCTAATGATCAGCTGAAAGTGTGAGATATTTGATATAAATTGAATTCCAAACAGGCATAATTCTTAGGTTATCATCAAAGAAGGAGAAGAATGATGACGCTTGAAAGATGATTAAGTTTGTTGTTTGTATCTAAAGTAATATGACTGGAAATTATTTTATATTATTCATAAACTATCGGCGCTGGTTTGGGAAGCCTGCATATTATTTTATATGAATACATATCATTTTTGTTCTGTTTATCAGAAATGTAGTCAGGGTTTTGATATTGTACTGAAGGTATTCACATGTCTCATTCCATCAAATATTCCAATAATAAGAGGATTATTCCTCATTTCAGGACAGCAAGGACTATGCAAATTATTTATTTTTTGCTCCTTCAGCCAGATGCACATCCAGAACTTCTGGTGTAAAGTGCAAATATAACCTAATATTATAAAGCCATTTAGTGCATACATCTGTTTCAGGCTTTTTGGCCATAATCAGTACAGAGTGTCTTGGGACCCAATGAGACCGCATAACCATACAGGTTATGGCGAAAAGGGAGTAAAGCATTATAAAAGTCCTCCAACCGAATTGATGCACAGATCAGTAAAGTTTCCTTAGAACAGAAGGTATTCACATGTCTCATTCATCATATATCCCAAAAATAAGAGGCTTATTCCTCATTTCAGGACAGTGAGCAGAGCAATGAAAATTATTACTTTATGCCCCTTTGGGTCGGTTCACGACACAAACAGTGCGTTCCAGAGCATTCAGCCTCTGGAACCCGGCCGACTCCCTGCATTCAGAGGCTGGAGGGGGCATGGCGTTGAAGTCAATGGCACCGCAGCCATGTCCCCCACCCGCAGTGTGATCCCCTGCACCCGGACACGTGGCATGTTAGTGCCTGCATTCTGGTCCAGTGCGATCTGCAAAAATAGTGCTTGCAGCATTTTTGCAGATTGCACTGGACTGGAACGCAGGCACTAATGTGCCACGTGTTTGGGTGCGCTCAAGGGGGTGGTGCCATTCACTTCAACGCATCACCACACCCTCTCCTGCCCCTGAACGCAGGGAACGTGCCATTGTATGTTCCAGAGGGGGAGCACTCTGGAACGCACTCTTTGTGGAGTGAACCGGCCCTTCAGCCAGATGCACAATAAGAACCTCTGGTGTACTGTGCAAATATAGCCATTCATGCCAAACTACATAGAGCTGTTTCAGGCTGTTTGACCATCATCAGGGCAGTGTATGGAAACCATGGCTTCTATGGAGTAGGGCTTGGGACCCAACAAGACCTTATGCTTATGGTGAGAAGGGGCTAAAACAACCTTCCAACTGAATCCATGAATAGCGCAGTAAAGCACTCTTAGAACAGGCAATATTCACATGTCTCTTTCCATCACATAACCAAACCTAAGAGGATTCCTGATTTCAGGACAATGAGCAAAGCCATGCAACTCATTGCTTTATGCCCTGTTAAACAGATGCACATCCAGAACTGCTGGCTGGCACTGATTCAGTGGAAGGCTTTTAGATTGCTTTAGTCCCTTTTCACCAAAACCTGTATAATTTGACTGTCTTGTTGGGTCCTAAGCCCTGCTCCACAGAAGACATGGTTCCATACACTGCATGGTCTTTATTACAGGAAGCTCCTTCACGTAAGTGAAGGCCAGAAGTGGTTTTGTGCTGGATTACTGCACAGATCTGAAAGAAATACACAAAAGACACCAAGTACCAATACAAATGCCTCTTGTACAGTATTTAGACAGTTTTGATTATCCTTTTAATGCATGGCACTCTAACCACTTTATGTCTAGTATGTTTTTCAATACGTTTTGGGAGATGTGACAGTTTGACAATTGTTGAACTAAACTAAACCAGATTAGTAGGACATGCATGGAAAGTTTTACTTTTTCAGGGGAGAAAATACATCCAAACATAGTAACACGTTTCATGTGTTCTTTTCTTCAAATGTTTTAGATCAAATAACTTTAGATCTAATAAATATTTACCAAACCAATGTACATCCCTTGTAATAACTGAAGAAATGTATTGATTTGATAAGAGTGTATTTTTTTTTGCATGACCTGTTTACATTGCTGCTCTCTGATCAGGTACAGTAGCTATATAAATGATGTATGTCACGAACTATATACCTGCACAGGTTAGGTTTTCTTGGGCTTCTACATATGGAGGTTTTTAACCAACGTCTGGAGCAGGAATACAATGCTTCCGTGATAATGACCTCACCAACAGTCCCATACAAAGCAGTGCTTTCCTCACCAAAACTTATCAAGGTAAGATGTGTGCAGATCTACAGTACATTCATCCCCTATCAATTCATGTGTGTCAGAATACAAGGAGAGCATTGTTGGCTTAGAATAGTCTTTGTTAATCTTTAGCAATTAACCATTTCCTGTCCATAATCTGTAGATTAAGGTTCCTCTACATTCCCTTTTACAGCTTGGAGCATGCATCTGTGTGCTCCTGTAAGCCTGCATGTTACTGACATTTGATTTCAAAGTGAACCTGTATTTTGCCCATTCAGGGCACAGTAATTCACTTAATTAGGTTCAGTGAGCATGGTTTAAGCTTCAAGAAGGCTGACTTGGAGCTTACACAGGGCTAAGGAACACCCCCACCCCACCTTCACCTTCATGACATCACTTGAGCCTATTGATTGGCCTGCCAGGTATCTAGCACTGCATCATGGGAGGAGTGGAAAGGAAGTCATAGGCCCACTCTTAACCAGATGAACCAGATTTGTGTTGTTTCCAATGTTGGGGAACAGTTGCAGGCACTTTTAAGTTAACATATTACTTTCCCCTGAATGGGAAAAGTACAGACTCCTATTATTATTATTATTATTATTATTATTACTACTACTACTACTATACAGGAATTAAATAGCACCAAAACTTTGAATAGTGCTTTACAATGTAAAGCAAGACAGAGCAGTTACAAAACAATTCAAAACGAGGGTTAGGAGGGCCCTGCTCCTTGGAGCTTACAATCTAAAAGGGAGGTGTAAATTATACAAAAGGTAACTGTAGGAGGGGGGTTGCTGAAGAAGGTAGAAGTTCAGTCATTTGGTAGAGGAGGGGTAGGCTTCCTTTAAAGAAGAAGTCCCATCTTGTATTATTTTTCACAGCTCAGTCACTCCCACAGTGTATGTTATTTTTATGCCATGTTTCTCTATGGCGTAAAAACTGAGATCCAGACTTTGATGGCTCATCCCTCCCATGCTCTGCAAAGGAGAAAACCTCTTGATTGACAGCCCTTATCTCATCTCATTATTTCTGGGCTTACAGCAATGCAGAGGGAGGCGGCATTCTTTTACAGGAATTGGCAAAGGCACAAGAACTGGAAGGCGAGCCTTATTTTGTGTTAGGAAAGTGCAGAGACTAGGGATGCACCGATGCTGATACAAGTATCGGTGCAGATAACAGAACGAGCAAGCTGGTATCACTACTCAGTATCGACGAGTACCGGAAGCAAACTTTTGGTATTTGTAAAAAAATGGTATCGGTGCATCCTTAGCAGAGATAAGAGCTGTCAATCAACAGTCCGTCTCCTTTGCAGAATGTGGTCGGAAATGAAGAGGAGTGAACTGTCAAGGTCCGTATCTCCGTTTGAACTCCACACAGAAGCAACATACACTCTACGATATAGGTCACTGAGCTGTGAAAAATTATACAATTATATATAGATATATAATGCATCCCTTATTTATTGTGTGAAAGACCACTTTTCACAAAAAAGCCACGTGGCACTGGTAAAGGTTCTGACCCAAAATGTTAGAGCTGTCAGCAGAACAGAAGGTGAGAGGGAATATTCTAACAGGGACACCTGTTCTAGTGACAACTGTCTATGAGGCAATTTTACACTCGCTTCCTATTGTGCCCATTTCACATGAAGTGAAGGGACGCAGGCAGAGGTTCGTTCTCTATTAATTATTTCTCCAATAATATATTCTAGCAATACACTTTTAGTACGTTTTGCCTTTTTAGTTTGTATAATTGACCTGCTTGCATAGTAAGTAGGTTTTGAATCTATAATAGTAACATTGGTAGTTAACATGCCTTTCTTTATGCACAGATGCATTTTCCTGTAAGATAATACATCCTGATTGCTTTACGAGTATATCTCTCATTATTACCCTTTTAAATCATGTTTACCTGAAAATATCGTCAATACGAACAGTCAGCTGTATAACTTGTTATCTGTGTAATTTAGGATATATGTCAATATCTATATAATTGATAAATATTTATAGCCTTGTCACATAACATAAATAGTTTGATTTCGGTTAACTAGTCCTCCACATGTATAGCTTGTGCTCTGAATTGTGTGCCATGCCACATATCATATTCTCATCACATATTCCTCAGTTTCCTCTCTGCCCCTTATTCTATTCAGCTTTGTCTTTTATAGGTCAGCCATCATCTCAATGTCTATCCTCTGACATTTTCCAGAGCTGCTGCCAGTGGCTAAAAGGTCCCTCAGCCAGTTTCCCTTGCCTCCAGCATGGTCATGACTGATATTGCTAAACTAAGATTCAATCTTCTTGTGTCACCGGCCAGAGTGCATCCACGGGAGAGCGGGTGGCAGGAAAACATTTCATATTTCTGAGCATCTGTCATGGTTTGCTGTAAAAACCCAGCAGGGAAATGAACTCTGCCCCTCTCCATCCCAAAAAACTTGGGTGGAGTTCTATTTCTGCTTCATGGTTACCCTACAGCACCCCTGAGCACTGTCTGTTGTTTTATATTTTGTCTCCATTCATGAGAAGTTCTTGCTGTTTATATACCATAATTGTTATATAGATCTCACAAAGCTTCTCTGATGTGTGCTGTTTCTGGGTTTGTTTAGGAATATGGAGCACAAGAAATTACAATTGTAAATCCCTGTGAGTTTCCTGATAAGACTGTAGTGTCAGAATACCTTGAACCTATGATACTGGGCACAGTCATCACTCCAGACGAGTTCCTCTCAAAGATAATGTCACTTTGCCAGGTTAGTACATTGTTTTTTTTATGCTGAAAAGAACCTGCAACTATTGAATTCATCACCATCTTGTTTGATAGAAAATATGACATCTGCTATTCTACTTTATTTGCAAAAAAAGTCTGCTTTCAAAGCTTCCTTGCTCTATAGAGCTGGCTTGACTCTCTGCTGAGAGATGAACTTCATTGTCCTTTTTTGGACCTCCACTCTGTATATTCCTCTTTGTGTCAGCCAGTGGAGTGGATCGAAGCAACTGAGGAGTACAAGAGTTGGCTGAGCTGGTAGAGATGAGCTGGATTAGAAGGAAGAATGCTGTGGAATGGAGGAAGAATGCTGTGGAATGGAGGAAGAATGATGTGGAATGGAGGAATGTGGAATGGAGGGAGAATGATGTGGAATGGAGGGATATGGAATGGAGCAAGAATGATGTGAAATGGAGCAACAATGATGAGGAATGGAGGAAGAATGATGTGGAATGGAGCAACAATGATGAGGAATGGAGGAAGAATGATGTGGAATGGAGGAAGAATGATGTGGAATGGAGGAAGAATCATATGTAATATAGGAAGCCAAACATCGATTTTTCAGTCGACTTTTGGTAAAAGAAGTGGGCTGAAAATTGTCAGCTGAACATAGATTTAACTGATGCAGCTTAATTTCACCATAGATTTACTCCTATAAAATTTAGGCTCTAACAAAATAAAATATTAAATACACACCAAACGATCATGTATATTGTTATATGCAGCCTCAGGACTAGTCATGGCTGCTACCTTCCTGATTTGTCCTGCTTGATGACAGTTAACAGCATATAGAGATATTCTTTGCCATAGCATTGAATTTATGATTCTGTGACTGAAAATACAAGGCTGCAGTGATACCTGTGTTTAGGTGTGGAAGCTCTTGGGAGTCTGGATGAGCCATGGAGAGCAGGAAACATAAGACATAAACCCAAAGTGCAGGGTCATTGTGCATGAGTGATGGTATGAAAATCTGAATACTATAAGAAGTCGCACCTTTATGTTTTATAATCACTTGTACGTGGGATTCTGTAAATCTGTGTAGAAGTACAAGAATAAACATCTAAAATCACTAAAATGTATTTGTGTTTGCAGTCCCGGCGTGCTGAACACAAAAGTTTTGTCTATATTGACGAGCACAGGATCATGCTGAAATTTCTGTTTCCTTTAAATGAAGTGGTGGTGGATTTTTATGATAACCTAAAGTCTCTGTCATCTGGATATGCAAGGCAAGTCCCACAGACATTTCTCATTCTGTATATCCTATAGGCCAATTTGTTCCTTGAAATTAGTCTTTCATTTTCTCAGTGCAAACCTATTTTTTTTTTTACAAAACTAAAGTTTTTGGGTGAAACTCTGAAGGTAAACACACGAAGATGGTAACCACTTTTTGGCTTCACAATATTCTCGGGATCCACCCGGATGCATGATTGGCAGCTGGCTCCGCCTCTCTAGATCTGAAGCAAGCTGTGCTAAAAACATATAATTTATGTAAAAATTTTAAAACCGTAAAAATAGACTGGACTTTTTTTAAAGCAGTTGGTGGGGTTGAGGGTTTTCAGGGATATGCTGCTTGTGGCAAGCTTATTACAGTTTTATATAAAGAACATATTTGTGATAAGTGGATGAGAAGTCACAGCCACAAAGCAACCCTGCAGAAAAGAGGAGGGGAAAAAAAGCAGGAATATGTGACACTGCAGTTGTCAAGAACAGCTTGTATCAAGGGAAAATCTGAGAAACGAGAAGATGTATGCCCGTAACTCCTGGTATATATTTTAGTTAGGGATACACCACTACTGTTTTTTCAGTATCGAGTACCGTTATTTTTTCCGGTACTCACCGATACCGAATACCCCGGAAATCCCATTGAGGAAGGCAGGCGGCGTGTAATGTTCCTGATTAGCCGGGAAGCCGTCTTAATGCTCCCTCATCACCAGGTGACGAGGAAGCATGGAGCCAGTTTTCTGGCCAATCAGGAAGCTGGGGTCGGGTAATGACACACCACCTGGCTTCCTGATTGGCCAGCCTCCCGACCATTCAGGAAGCCGGGTGGTGAGTCATTACACGCTGCCCGGCTTCATGATTGACCAGGAAGTCACCTCCATGCTCCCTTGTCACCAGGTGACGAGGAAGCATGGAGCCAGCTTTATGGCCAATCAGGAAGCCAGGGGGGCGGGTAATTAGTCACCTCCTGGCTTCCTGATTCGGTAGCTTCCCGACCAATCAGGAAGCAGGGTGGCAAGTTATCACACGCTCCCTCATGCTCCCTTATCACCAAGTGACTAGTATCGGTATCTGTGCATTCTTAATTTTTGTAGTTAAAGAAATTGGCAGTGAGACCTAGGAAGCCAGAAATGTATATTTGCCTAAATGCTGGTATAGTGATTTAATCAAAACTGGACAGCCAGACAAACAAGGAATTTGTATCTTTCATTAACTGAGGTCCATATGGCAGGCTGTTACCATATCAGTTATTCAGAAGATATCTTTGGCCATATATAGGGAAAAAGAGTGGTATTCCCACAAACGAATAAAATGGAAACACAATTTCCTGGCTGTTTTAGGCTTCACAGTAGTTGCTCTTCCCCAAAATGCAGGACTTAGGGGGCGGATTCTCTCTCTCTGTTTAGGTGATGATCCTGCACTTTGATATGGAGCAGCCTGTGTTACCTGTAAACCAGTGTAAAGAGAACCTGGCAGAAATGTTATTAACCCTTGCAGTGGGGCTACCCCCACACTGCAAGGGTAACCTGCTTGTTTTTATTATTTTATTATTCAGTAATGTTTGGTTGTACGCCGTTTACTGCTTTATAAGGTAAATTAGTAAAATGATGCATTTTATGTAAATCACAGCAATTTCTAATTTTTTATTTTCATATTGCAGTATAAATATTTTGTGTGCGTGCGTGCGTATAACACAATATATAGGCCAAACTAATCCGATTATTCTACTTTGTGCATTTTGTCCTTTTTCAGTTTTGATTATGAGGATGCAGGTTACCAAGCAGCTGACCTGATAAGAATGGATATTTTATTGAATGGGCGCTCTGTGGAAGAACTAGTGACTATAGTACATAGGTAAGAAGTGTTACAAGGAAAATTGTATAAACAAACACTAAGGGATCCATTTATAAAGCAGTAATATGAACGGCACCCATACCACCGCTTTTCTACAAAACCAACCCTAGCGCATTTATAAAGCTCTCCTGTGTGCTTTATAATCACTTTATAAATTCCACCAACTGTCATTTCACCTACAGTCAGTCTTGACTTATCATGGGTTTTAATTAGTTGACAGTAAGCTGTTGGCTGTGTTCACTTATTACTATTTATTAGAATAAAGTTTTTCAATTTTCTACTACTGTGGTTTGTCCCAATCTTTAGTTAACCCTTGAACTGCCTCCACCTGGGAGTCCGTTCGATCCTGTTTTTCGGTATACTCTAATTTGGTTACTGATATGGTAGATAAACCCATCTAAAGGGTTATTACACAATGTGGAAGTTAACCATGAGTGCAGAGGGAGGAATTGTGTAGATCTGGCTTAATCTGGTAAAAATGGGGTATAAATTTGGTTGAAGGCTGGGTGAAACGTCTGCGTCTCTGTGTGTGTGCCAGGTGTGAGCTAAAGAGAATAGTCCGGTTCCGCTGATGTTTAGTCTGTTAGAACAACTGGGTGGCAGGTGCCTTGATTCTGTATGAGCACATTTTTTTTTAGAGCTTTTTTTTGTGACAACAGATATGATAAAAAGATGATAAAGGAAATGTGTATCTTCTGTTATTCAGGGAAAAAGCCTATTCAGTCGGTAAATCAATCTGTGAAAGGTTACAAGATGCTATTCCAAGACAACTGTTTGAAATCGCTGTACAAGCAGCTATTGGAAGTAAGGTCATCGCAAGAGAAACGTAAGTCTGTAGAGAGTGAAATGGATATCCTCAATTTTATGTCCTCATGATCAGTCTGTCAACAATTACAACTACAAGTAAATTATGCTTAAAGCCCAACTCTGGGCACACTAACCTTCCCGGGAATAAAGTAGCCAAATACACGTTTGCCTCAAAGCTACCTTCCGTCCTGTACGTTTTCTTCCACATTCTGTACTCTCGGCTCCAGGGTGGGGTGGAGACATGACCTCAACGCTGTGGTCAATGAGTCCTGACCAAAAATACAGGAGGAGCTGTACTAATCCTGGCATGTAAACCAGCAGATTTTTGGGATGTAGAAGAAAGTGTACGTGACAGGTGGTGGTACAGGCGTGTTTACTTGCTTTAACCCAGGTAAGGTCAGTGTGCCTTTGAGTTGTGCCTCAAAACTGTATCTCTAACCAGAATTGTATTTCTTGTTCTTTCCTTTTGGATAGAATAGGTAACTCTTTGAACCCATGCCTTATTTTGGGGTGGAGAGGCTAGACCATTCATTTTATTTTTCTTCTGTGGAAGAAAGTGAGGAGAAATCTGCACTGGGGATTTAGACAGCAGTAAAAGGTAGCAGAGGTTCTAATATTCCCCAACCTGCTAAAGGGTTTTATTACCATTTGTGTTCCTCTTAAAGCAATCTGCCCTGGTGACAACATTATGACCAGGACAGGAGGCAATGCAGAATTCCAGAAAGAGGACACAGACGTGAAAACAAATGTACACATAATATTTATCCCCTATCTAAATATTTACAAAAAATAAAAAAGGACTACAAATACACTTTAAAGGCGAAGTTTACCTTTCTGACCACGTTTCATGTTACACCATATTTTGGGTGTAATATGAAACATGGTCGCATTGCAAACCCCCTCCTATACTTAAACTGAATCGCAGTGTTCCTCTCGCTGCAGGCTGCTGCTTTTTTATTTTATTTGGCGAGGCGTGCTCGGCCAAGCCCACACAGACGCATCATCCAATCACAGATCCTTTGACAGGATCTGTGAACTGAGACGCTAAAGGACTTCTCAATAGTATTTCTAAATTAAATACAATTGCGGTAACATCACTGCACTTGTAGTCCATTCATCCTTCCTCCTGTCCCTGTTACTTAATGTCCTTGCCTCGGTACAGATATGGATGGGAGGAAGAATCTGAAGGAGCCGGAGCATTGCACCTGCAATCCACTGATCGCAGTAGCAATGCTTTATTGGCTCCAATGCAAAAAATAATAATAATAAATAAACATGTTTTTCTTTTCTGAACAGTGCATTTATTTATTTTTGTAAATGGAATTGTTTAATCGTCGGGTCTTTTCTGCCCGTGCGTGCCTGCTAGGGGGCGCGTGCGAGCAGAAAATAATTGCCGTCTGGAGACGGCAACCCGCAAATGCAGCAGTGCCGTCCGTCCGTTTTTTTACTACGGGCGGACGGCAAGAGGTTGAGAATTTAAATCTTAGGCCTTATGTTGTTATAAATGTGCAGGTGTAGTTGTTATATACCTTACTGGTGACTGACTCTTCAGGTTAAACCCGGAGATGAAAAGTCACGTAAAGCCCCCTAGCTCAGCAATGGCTAATCACCATAAAACAAATATTTAGGGTGAATACAGCGTACTTTCAGCTTTCCCTCGAGATAAGTTTGAGACTTTCCAAGATCCTTCATGGGTGACCTGCATATGATCTCGTGTTAGGTTACTTTTGCATCCCCATTAACTTTATGGGGAGAAAAGCAGTTCTGATGTGAGCAAAGTCCATACAAGATCGTGGCTGCAGAGTAGTATATCTAACGAACTAACTAGACCTCTGCACACCTATGGAAGTATCTACATTGGTAATTTGTGAACTCCGGTATATTAGTAGTAGTTCTTTTATATGAATACAATTTTAGTTTATGACCCTGTAAGTGCAACAAAAAAAGTTTTGTATTTAAGAGTTAAATAAAGGATCAGGCAGGACAGTAAAATATACTGTAAATATGCAATATGGCAAACAGTAATGTCTACAGAGAAACCATCACAGCACTGCATACCTAAACACCCTTGATGAATATTTAGCACCCGATAAACAGATGATGATGTGACAACTAGTAGCTGCCAGGGAATGTACAGTTCCAAGAGGAGAGTATTTGCCCAAGTATAAAAACTAAACTAAACAAGAATTCCTTAGAAGCAACACGTACTAATGTGCTGGAATGGCTGAGTCCAGATTGCAGTCCTATAGAGTATTTGTGGCAAGACATGAACATGGCTGTTCACTCATGATCCCCATGCAAGCTGACATGTGGAAAAAATAGCAGTTTCCAAATACACAAAGCTGATAGAGATCAATCCACACCAAGTCAAGGCTGTCATTTCTCTATCCAATAAATACTAACTTGAAGGGGGGTGTATACTTGTGCAATCAGTTTTTTTTAATTTTTATATTCATTGTAAATTTCAAGGAGGTAAATCATTTTTTTTAGGGACTGTAGCTGGGTTAGACCCTTTTCTATGGATCTTTTTTAATTATACAGTTTTATATTATGGTGACACTTTTTTTACTGGCATTTATTATATTTACAAAAACTTAATTTTACAGAATTAAAGCATACAGAAAGAACGTTTTGGCAAAATGTGTAAGTAATACTTGGTTGTCATAGAGACAACTTTTGAATTGCCTTTAGTACCCTTGTTTATTCTGTGATTTCTCCTAATAGTAATGGATTCCTGCACATGTTGGTTCTATGTAGATAACCGGGATCTGTTATCTTTTTTGAACATTTTTAAAGTGTATTTCTGCTTTTGCAGCCAAATTGGGATAACACCTTCTTTATATTTGTTACAAGTTTCCATTTATATAGCATAGCTTAAGTTTTTATTTAAAAATTGCTCTACACTGTGCGAATTTCAGCCAGGTTCTTGATGAACCGGGCAAAGCTTGCACAGTGGGTGCCCCTATAAGGGGCTCCTAAATGTCTATTTTTATTAGAATTCCAGCACCAGACCAAACTGAACTCCCCTCGCCATGCAGTAGCAGAGAGGATCATTGCTTTCTATGTGGAAGCTGCAATCTCTCTGCAGTGGTCTGAGTCGCCCGTGCTGATTAGTAGCTAGAACTGTGAAATCAGCAGGGAGCATGAGCTTTAGCTGTGACTTACAGTGGTGTGTCAGACTGCTGGACATGCGGACGCAGAGGGACATACCATTACGGCAGCAAAGGCGGGGACAGAGGTTAGAGTGAGTATAACTTTATGTTCCTCCCTAGACCAAAAGGAGCAGTTAATAGTTTTCCTTGGAATTCTGCTTTAAAGATTTACTTCCACCTATCACCGGATATATTCAAATCTATTGGGGTTTTTTTGGTTACACTTTACTTTCAAAACCAATTATGTGCTCCACAGGGACCCCAAACTCAGGTCCTTACTATATGTAAATTTCTGTTTTGTGCTCTCTGCATCCCAGGAGTTAAAAAGCATGCCTTCTCTAAGGGATTTCCTGAAATGCAGAGAACGCGTACCCTACTTGTATATTTAGAAAAATGTATTCAGATATTCCGTTCTGTATTTCTTTTCAATGATCAAAGTGTTTCAAGCTTCCCTTTTATTGTTTTGGTAGCTTAGAATTTGGGAGTTTTGGAAATTTGGTTGTCATCTGTTTAGCACTTACTCAGAAGTTTGTGCGAAGCTTGACAGTTTTCTTCCATAAATATGTCTGAGCCGATTAAATATTAAAGCACTACATGGCAAAGTTGCAGAACACGGATTGCTTGCGGAAGGGTTTCTAGACTTTAACAAACCTTTAAAAGTTTCCATTCACACCTTTTTGGGCTTTGATGTAACAAAGGAAAAAAAAACATTTTAGAACTGAGCTGAACTTATTGCAACACACATCAACACAAGTAAAAGTTAACTTTCAGTTTGTTTCCATTTTCATAAAAGAAAAGCAATGAGCATTTAGCACTGGTAACTTTTTTTTTTTGCTGGGAGAGAGTATTGGCTAAAAATCTGTACCTCATACTATGAAACCATCTCGCCTACTAGATGGACCTAGGCCATTGTAGGAATTAAGAGCATGGGTGATCCTGTCTTAAGGTGCCCATATATAAGAAACACTCAGGTATTTTAACTTTTTTAGTATCTACCTGTTTCTTATTCATAAACAACATGGAGATTGGAATAAATAGTTCAATCTCGGTGTTTGCGGATAATACCGATCGGTGTAGAGAAGTCAATTCTCAAAACATAAAATTCACTTCAAAAAGACCGAGATAAAATTGGGGCCTGGGCTGCAAGATGGCAAATGCAATTTAATATTGAAAAATGTAAGGTTCTGCACATGGGAGCATAGAACGTGTCCTGATAAAGTACTACTTGGGGGTGTTCCACTGGGGAAGTCAGACATGGAGAAAGATCGCCTCCAGAAAAGAAAGGGTGTTTGGCACCCGCGCACAGCTTCCAGAGTTCAGTTTCCTTTTAAAGCTAAACATGTGGCATTATCTAGTGTCTCAGGAGTTTTACATGTACACACCTCCAATTCATTTAGTTCAGCAACTGCAAGAAGAACTTTACTAATTAAGATTGTAGCAGCAACTGACTTGTTTCCTATTTCTTGGCAGTATGGAGGTGATATCACCAGAAAGATGAAGCTTCTGAAGAAGCAAGCTGAAGGAAAGAAGAAACTGAGGAAAATTGGCAATGTGGAAGTTCCAAAAGATGCATTTATCAGTGTGTTAAAAAGAAAGACGGACAAATGACACCATGAACTGTCTATATGCCCCCCCCACATATTCTACAATGAACACGATGCATCAGACCATGCTTCCTCCACAGTTTATCTTCTGTATGACTCATGTTTAAAATGAAAGTATAGGAGGAAAATGGCCTATTATTAGAAAATCTAGGGCCCATTCAGACTAATGTGGCCTCTTCCACACTCATTATCCTAAGGTAGCTGCCAATTCACTATAATGGGCAGGAAAAAAAAAGCCACACGACTGTTTTAGAAATGCAACACACCATATAATGCACATTATAAGCTGTGGTGTGCTGAAGTGCATTAGCCCCTGCTGTACGGTGCTATTCACAATAAGTGCAATGCACCACACATAGTGCCATATGTTGTGGTAATGGGCAAGTGTTAATGGGCCTTAAAAGGGTTGTGTTTTATGAGCTTTATTTTCTTATACATTTTGTATAATTAAAATTGGGAACCCTTATTCAAGAGGGTTGTTTTCCCAGACTCAAGCCTGGTGTCTGTATCTGTGTCCTGGTATGGTATGAACAGCATGGTGTAGTCCAGGAGTAGGCAACCATGGCACTCCAGTGGTGATTAAAGGAGAACTATGGGGTTTGGGCTTTTCCCCATAGTTCTCCTTAGGGTAACGAGAGGACACAAACTAGCGTCCTCCCGTTACCCTAAGCTCAGTATACCGGCTACAACTCGCGGTATACTGAGACACCGCAGCTGAAGTGGATCCCGACAATTATGCCGGGATCCGCCCAGCTGCGTGAGTGACAGCTGGCTCTGCTTATCTAGAGGCAGAGCCAGCTGGACCCTCCCCCGTCCGTTCCGCCAGTCAGCATTGGGGGAGGGGGGAATCCAGCCCCTCCCATGTCACAGCAGAGAGCCGTGACAGGATTGAGAGGTGAGCGAACGCCGGTATTTGTTCGCTCACTTCCCGATCTACTGAGCCGACCTGTGACAGTCTCATTGTCACAGGTCGGCTAGAAATATGAGGTGAGTGAAAAGCACTCGCCTCATAGTTCTCCTTTTAAACTAGACTGACAGCCACAGGCAAGACAAGGCATGACAATGGGAGCACTGGGGTTGCCCACCCCTTGTCTAGTCAAACAAAAAAAGAGGGAAGAAAAAGCAGATGTAAAATGTGGCAAAGTAGTCAAGCAAGGAATGACTGCAGTTCTGAAGAAGATGGTAACCTGTGTGCAGCTGTAATACTCGTATGAAACCAATTGCCTATTCCACACAATTACTAATTTTACCAAAGGTGAAAAAAAATATATATTTGTGGTCATCCTAAAGACAATGCTGTGTCAAGTCTTTCAGCCTCTCATTGTATTGCTAGTAATGGTACCTGTATCCTAGTTGCCAAAATTGAGTACAGCTGCCCGATGAGTCATCCCCTACCCCATTATATATTCACTAACTGGTACGTGTTCTGGTATTTAGATGAAAGCTGAATTCCAGGCACACAGCTAAATACACATATTATGTGCTGCTTCTGCCAAAGATTTGTCATTTTGGCCAGCTTGTAATACAATGATCATTCTGCCACTTCTTGCTTTAGCATTAATGCTTCCTACATCCCAACTCACTGATGAAGGCTTCGGGTGGCAAGTTGAGAATAGGAAGTCCAATGTTATAAGCGTTCTTCGGGGGATAAAGAAGACAGAGTGGGTGTCGTGCATTGGTGTGCAGCTCCTGGTAGATACAGACCAGGGTATCCGACGTGTGTACTGGGATCCAAGGAGTCTCATTATCCTGTTATTACCATTACTCCCACCTTAGTCCATCACGCCACCGCGCAAAGGGACGGATACGGCCATGCCGCCCAACAACACTATGACTTTCAAGTTAACCTCCGTGTTGAAGCGAGTCCTCACCCACCCTCAGGTGAGTTCTATACTTATACATATTCTGCCCCACTCCACCAGAGTCATAGCGCTAGTATTGGCGCTCCGGTCTCCTCTTTTGTTTTCAGGAGGCAAGTTACATGGTAAACAGAATTGCTTAAAGGATAATTATAGGGTGTCACAGATCGGCTCTTGATTGGGAAGTCAGCGAACACACACATAGCGCTGCTCGCTGACTTCCCGCAGGGATCCCTCCCCTCTCTGTTCCTCCAGCGGGGTGGATCTTGACAGTATTGTTGGGATTCCTCCTGGCTGCGGTGCAGCTCTGCACTCCAAGCATATAGTGGGCAATAACCCGCTTTATACTGAGTATTGAGTCACTGGAGGACATGAGTGTATGTCTTCCTGTGACCCTGAAGAGAACTATGGCAAAAACAAGTAAGGCCATAGTTCCCTTTTAAAGAAGAACTCTGGACAATAATTTTATTAACCCTTGCAGTGGGGCTACCCCTGCACTGCAATGGTACAGGTTGCTATTTTCCTCACTAGACCAAAATGAGCAGTTAACTCTTGTAGTGTGCGAGTAGCCCCACTGTCAGGATAATGAACCTTCTTCAATCAGGAAATATATCCGTCATCTTTCTGGCTGTGCAGTGTGAAGAGTTTTACTCCACAGAATGGTAACACAGCACGCATACGTATATTTCAGCTGACGTGTCGGTTATGACATATTCTATAGATCTTATGGGTCAGGTATTTTCTAGCGACAGCCTCACACAACACAAAGACCATTTTATTAGCCAACTTGTTTATTAGGCAAAACAATTGCAGATAATGTTCTTTAGAAAACCAGTCTGACTAGAGAAGAAGAAAAGACATTTTATCCTGTCTGTAAAACAAAATGTAACAAAATGGTGACAGCGTCAGTCACGGACAAAAGAGAATGTGAACGTCGCAGCAAGCAAGATCGCTCAGGGAGTGTGTACAGCTTGTTTATAATGTACAGCAATGTGGCGCACATTCTATGAAGCTCTATGGAGAAGTATTTTGTATAGCAGCTTTTAGTATATCAAGAGGCAGCAATATATTTACATTATATAATAAAAGGCAACATTTGATGACCTTAGGCACCGCTCGGCAGGTCAATCATTGTAGAGCGTAAACATGTTCAGTGCAGCCGAACACCCGAAATATTTCATGATATGGAATGTTACATCACTAAAGCAGAGACTGGACCTTGGCAATACAGTACTTTGACACTTTTGGAGACCAGATTGCATAGCCACTTGTCTGAGAGCTCCACTCCCTTCTAGGATGTGTCAGTTCTTCTTCATGCTGAGCAGTGGCTCCACTAGTTTATTATGTACATGCATTAAACCTTGAGAGACAAGAGACAGAACCATTGTCATTAATGCGGCCTGCATATGCAATTCAAGATACCAAACATAATATAACCCTTAATATATATGGAGCAATGCTGTGTCACCAGCAGAAGGGGTGTAGAGTGCAGCCAAACTCACATTGAATAAAATATATCATAAAGCACACTGCGCTCTCCACCTCAGATCAGTCATAAAGCACACTGCGCTCTCCACCTCAGACCCATCATAAAGCACACTGCGCTCTCCACCTCAGATCCATCATAAAGCACACTGCGCTCTCCACCTCAGATCCATCATAAAGCACAGTGCGCTCTCCACCTCAGATCCATCATAAAGCACACTGCGCTCTCCACCTCAGATCCATCATAAAGCACACTGCGCTCTCCACCACAGATCCGCTCTCCACCTCAGATCCATCATAAAGCACACTGCGCTCTCCACCACAGATCCACTCTCCACCTCAGATCCGTCATAAAGCACAGTGCGCTCTCCACCACAGATCCATCATAAAGCACACTGTGCTCTCCACCTCAGATCCGTCATAAAGCACACTGCGCTCTCCACCTCAGATCCAACTGTTTGCATCATGTATCAGCTATTTTCCAATCACTTTGATACTATAGTAATCATAGACACCAAAATACCAATTTTGTTTGTGGCAAACCCAACCCATGTTTTAGATCCGTGGGTCGCTGCATGCTTTCCACTTTTCTAGGTGAGAGGCTCCTCAGCCTCTCCCTAGCGCAGCACTGTCAGTTCTCTTGCCAAGTGGCCATTTAAAATATGATGCCCGGCGCCAAGCATCAGCTTGAGGTGGGGTGGGCTGGGAGCATGGCCGCCAGGGAGCTCCATACCTATGCGCATTGCTTACAGCTCCCTCAGTGTCCTATAGAGGTGCCTGAACCAGAGTGACATCAGATTCCGGCTCCCAGCACCCCTACAGGGCACACAAGGGAGCTGTACAAGCAATGCACATATGGATGGAGCTCTTTCACACCACAGCAGCCCACAGTCCCAGGGTGAGGATCCACTCCAGTTCTCATAAGGTAGGTACCTTTTTTAAATTTTGGAGTGTGAATGTGTGTATGTGTGAGATTGTGTCTGTGGTTGTGTGTCTGTCAGTGTTTTTGAGGGCCATTAATCGCATAGTACCAAGCAATCGCAACTACCGTACATTCTGCTGTGGGAGGTATGTTGCATTGCCATTCATTTGAATGGTACCCTAAACGTACCTCCCACCCACAGTTTGTACGCCTGCACCGGAACGTGCGGTACCCTAATGCTGTGCATTCCATTGCAGTGTGATTTGGATCATGTCCTAATGTCTAAGGACAAATGTGGGTCCTGAGGTTACACAGGTTGAGAACCACTGTTTTAGATGATCCCTGAAAACTCAAGGTCTTCAGGGAAGCCAATCCCACCTCTACCTAACCACTAAACTATTACTTTCTCAAAAAACTCATCTCCACACAGCTTCCACCTGTTGTATCACTTGCCCCTCCCTTGTAGAATGTAAGCTCTTATGGGCAGAGCCCTCCTAACCATCTGGTCTTGAAGTGTATTGTAAAGCTGGCCATACACCTATAGATTTTCCATCAGAAATGTATGTTGCTGCCAAGAACCCTTTATCGATTTTTAGCTCCAATAACCCCATCCTGCACAGACCAATGTCGATTTCGACAATTATTCGTTAACACTACCAATTCACCAAATTTTGTCAATCGACAGAACGGATTTTCGTTTGCGCATGTGCAGTGTTCTTGCTGCAATTTTTTTCATACAAACGCCACTAATCCATCGATTTTGGTTCCATTCAAAAAAAGTTTTCCAGTCTGACCAATCGAGAAAATTCAGCCAGGAGTACAGTATTTCAAATCGTTTGCGTCCCATCAACTGAACGATTATCGTTCAAAAGACAATTCGTGGACGATTTCCAAACAAAAATCGATAGGTGTATGGGCACCTTAAAGGAGAACTATGAGGTGAGTGCTTTATTATTCACACTTCAGTGTTGTGGTAACAAGCATGTTATCGAAACAAACTCGCTCTGAGTTGCAGGGTGCCTTTAATTGTCAATGGCACCCAAACTCACCGCATTACACTACATTGCCCATACAGGTATTCCTCACTTAACGACCGAGTTCCGTTCCTACGACCAGGTCGTTAAACGGATTGGTCGTTAAGTGAGGAACTCTATACAGTACTATACTGCATTAGTACAGTACTGTATAGCGTTGCCGATGTACAGTACCGAACAGTGTACTGTACATCCGGCAATGGAAATACTTACCGAGACCTGCAGTGAAGATCGGGGGATGTCACTTCCGCCGGCGACCCGTCGCACTGACGCTGACGCGGAAGGTCGGAGGTCGATCGGCGGTCCTTCGTAAGTGCGAGTGGTCGCAAAACAGGTAAGTCGGTAAGTGAGGAACATCTGTACTGTGTGTTGTGGTGTGCTGCTCTGCTAAAAAAAAAAAAAGTACATTTGTTCCATTCGTTGTGGTGCATTGGCAACCCATTCATTATAAATAGGCTACCTTAACACCACGCACTGCAGTGGAACACTTAAGTGTGAATCCAGCATAAAACAGCATCTATATGGTGCCACAGTATTTTATATGCTGTAAATAAACATTTCAAATATTTCTGCATTTTAGTGCTCAGCCGGCTTAAAGGAGAGCACAGAAAACTGACAACTGCACAATCAAGAGCTGCAAGTACTCATGCTCTCCTCGTACCTAGAAGTTCTGGGTATTTTTTATTCTAAGGCACGTCAGGAGCCAAGGGAAATGTATCTGGGGTGTAAAACAAACCTTTTTATGCCATACACACCTTTAAAATATTTGACCGTTTTAACTCTTAGTTCTAATGTAGCATCTTCATCGCAGACAAATATAGTGCGCGGATGCTGCTGGAAAGCAGATACAGTCCACATATGATTTATACCTTCTTCTATAGCCTTATACAAGGCAAAGGCTTTATGTGCCCCTGTAATAAGGATCATCACCTGGCAAAAGAGAACAGTGTTTATGAAGAGATAATATACCAACCAACAAAATAAAATCACCATTTCACTAAACTGTAACAAGATATCTCTCTGCTGATTTTATGATTTCTATTTGAGCCCACCCAGCTCTTAATGTCACCTCATTCCTGAGGTTTACCCGGTATTAAGTTTGAAAATGATGGCGAGAATCTCTAGACTCAAATGCCCGTACACAGCTCTAAAAACCCAAAATCCTATTGTATGTATAGCCAAAATATTTGTTTTTCCTTTCAGAAGTAGAGATGAAGGATTTGAACCGTTGTAACGCTTTTATTGTTGCCTGTGTCCCAGAGCTGTGGACCTTCTCTATTCTTCCTGCTCATCAATATCACTGAGACAGAAACAAAGTGAGGGAAAGTCCAAAATTTTACAGTTGTCACCAGAACATAAATGGTCCATATAGTGAGCTTGGTGCAAAATTATTCACTTTAAGGTGATTGCAAAGGACAAGGAGGCTTTGTGTATGGAGGAAAAGAGGTTTAACCTTTGCATACGGAAAAGGCTTCTTCACAGTTAGAGCTGTGAAAATGTGGCATAGACTCCCCCGGGAGCTAGTTCTAGCTAGCAGTTAACAAAAATAACAATATTTTAAAAATCTGGATGCGTTCCTAAACGCACAGATTACTGGATATTGAGTTCTTAGTATGTTAAGCACCAGAGATTGTTGATCCAGGGAATATCCGATTGCCTTATGGGATCAGGAAGGAATTGTTTCCCCCCGTTGGAGCAAATTGAACTGTGCTTACTAGGGGAATTTATTTGCCTTCCTCCGGATCAACAGTGGGCACAGTGTTACATTGTTACATAGTATTTGAGGCTGAAAAAAAGACACAGGTCCATCAAGTTCAACCTTTGTGTGTGTAAGATTGTGCATATGAGACCCTGTGTGGTCTAGTAGTTAAGAGTACCTGTACCCCTGTATATTACGGTCTCTGAAGACGGTAGCCAATAGATTTTTGAACAAATTAATATTCTTTGCAGATACCACTGCTTGTGGCAGAGAGTTCCAAAATGTAACCGCTCAAACTGAAAAGAAGCCCCTACGCCCCTTGTGGTTAAATCTTTTCTCCACCAATTTTAGGTGGTGGCCTCTAGTCCTTCTTAAGGAGTTTACAGTAAAAAGTTTAGTGCTGATGTTACCATCACCACTGAACATTATGTACAACACAATCATGTCCCCTCTTTAATCTCCTAACCTCTAGAGTGAACAAGTTTAAACTTTGCAACCTTGTCTTATAGCTTTGATCCTCCAGCCCCTTAATGAGTTTTGTTGCTCTTCTCTGGACACTGTCCCGCTCAAGGACATCTTTTCTGTGGACTGGTGACCAAAATTGAATGGCATACTCCAGATGAGGCAGAACCAGCGATCTATAAAGTGGCAAAATGATTGCTTTGTCTCTACACAACATTAACTTTTTAATACAAGACAGTACTCTGCTTGCTTTGTTTGCTGCAGCCTGGCACTGCAAGCTATTATTCAATCTGTGGTCTACTATGACCCCCAGATCTTCTTCCATTTCCGACTTCCTTAGTGGAGTTCCCATTAATGTCTATTCCGCTTTGCTATTCTTAATCCCAAAATGCATTACTTTACATTTTTTAACATTAAACCTAATCTGCCATATAGTTGCCCACTTCCCTATTTTATCCAGGTCCTCCTGTAATGTTATAATGTATAAGTCCGTATCTATTATCCTCCCGATTTTAGTGTCATGAGCAAACACAGAAACATGGCTATTAGTACCTTCCCCAATATCATTAATAAACAGGTTAAGCAGTATAGGGCCTAGCACAGAACCCTGGGGCACGACACTCTCGACCTTAGACCAATCCGAAAAAGAGCCATTTATTAATATTCTCTGATACGTTCCTGTAGCCAGTTCTCTATCCATATACACACCATATTATCTATGCCCATAGATCTCAGCTTGTGTAGCAAGCGTTTATGTGATACCGTGTCAAAAGCTTTGGCGAAATCCAGATCTACCACATCCACCGGCCCCCCTTCATCCAGATCTCTACTCACCTCTTTGTAGAATGTTGGTAGGTTGGTCTGACAAGGACGGTCCTTCTTAAATCCATGCTGATTATTACTTATTATACCTTTGTCACAAACAAAATCGACGAAGTAGTCCTTTATCATTCCCTCTAACAGTTTGCATACTATGGATGTTAGACTGACTGGTCTGTAGTTCCCAGGTTCGCATATTGAAACTTTTTTGAGAGGTTCCGTTTTAGACTTTCTTTCTGTTTTAGGTTTTACTTTTTTTTCCCCTCTTATCTTTATAGGTTGAACTCGATGGACTTGTGTCTTTTTTTTTAACCTGACTAACTATGTAACAAATGGGGAGAGCAAATGTTCCATTGACAGCTGTTCCACGGTCAACTAAGAAGGAAATCCCCCTCACTTTGCAAAGACTTCCTTTCTCCATCCAAAAAAAGTTAGAAGCTATACATACAATTTAAAGCTGAACTTTAAACTTCTTATATTTTGCCTTTCCTGGTTCCTTTATTCCCCTCATCATCATTCTAAAAAAAAATGATGAAAAATACTAATTCATGCATAGAAGCACTTTTTACAGAAATTCCAATAGAAGGCATTTCAATTACAACATTATAATGCCACTACCTCTTTGGCATCCATCACTGTACCCACGCCAACTGTCAACGCCATTGTTGGAACCTTGGAAAGATCTCCATCAAAATATTTAGCATTAGCCAAAATGGTGTCCATTGCCAAAGTCTTTAATCTTGTCCTGGATACCAGACTGGAACCGGGCTCATTAAAGGCAATATGACCATCTGGCCCAATACCTAGGGGGAAGGGGGGGGTAAGATATATGCTTTACATACACACAAAAAATTGCTACATTTAAAGATTTCTTATAAGCATTATACAGCCTCCTGTGACAGCGTGTCAGAGAGGAGAGCAGGCTACATACACTCAGCGATCAGTGATCACTGAGTGATTGTAGATAATTGAGGACATGGTATGGTTAATATATCCTCAATTATGAATGAATGGGAGTCATCTATATCCACTTCTGTTCATAATTGTGGTTATAGTAAACATACTATATTCTCAAGTTATCAATGAACAGGAACACTCATAGAGGATTACAAAACGGCATGTTAGTCTACACATTCAAAGTGAAAAAGTCTCCTGTTCCCAGCCACCCCCATCGGCCGTGCACTGTGAGGGGACAGTCTTCTGCTCCCAGCCACTACCATCTGGCGAGCACTGTGAGGGGACAGTCTCCTTCTCCCAGCCACCCCCATCAGCCATGCACTGTGAGGGGACAGTCTTCTACTCCCAGCCACTCCCATCTGGCGAGCACTGTGAGGGGACAGTCTCCTTCTCCCAGCCACCCCCATCGGCCGTGCACTGTGAGGGGACAGTCTTCTGCTCCCAGCCACCCTCATCTGCCGTGCACTGAGAGGGGGCAGTCTCCTTCTCCCAACCACTCCCATCTGCCGTGCACTGCAAGGGGACAATCTCCTGCTACCATCTGCCGTGTATTGTGAGGGCACAGTCTCCTGCTCCCAGCCACCCCCATCTGCCTTGCATTGTGAGGGGACAGTCTCCTGCTCCCAGCCACTCCTATCTGCCATGCATTGTGAGGGGACAGTCTCCTGCTCCCAGCCACCCCTATCTGCTGTGCACTATGAGGGGAGACAGTCTCCTGCTCCCTGCCACTACCATGCATTGTGAGGGGACAGTCTTCGGCTCCCAGCCACCCCCATCTGCCATACACTGTAAGGGGACAGTGTCCTGCTCCCAGCCACTCCCATTTGCCATGCACTGCAAGGGAACAGTGTCCTGCTCCCAGCCACCCCCATCTGCCATGCACTGTGAGGAGTACAGTTTTCTGCTTTTAACTGCTCATAAATATGTGCTTTCATCATTCAGACCCATCCCCATTTGCTGCATGTGCCAGTGATGTTTTACAGAAGTCCCTCCTGACACGGCCCCTGCCTCTGCTTGAGCTGTGATGGTAATGGTCTCTGGCAGAACTGGTCTCTAGCATCAGGTGCTTGCCCATCAATGCTAATTAATAACATGATTGATGAGACTACTTCTTTAAATAACATAGAAGCAGCAGTAGTATATGGCCATTTTTCATTCTGCTGCTTTAGAAAAAGAGAAAAATAAATGTGCATTACAAAAGTGCTTAGTGCTTCACTGGCTCCAGGACCCCGACGACCGTGCTTAATAAAATGAAGGTGAAAATTAAAAAAAATAAGTAAAGTGACCTGTCAAAGCTATGTGGCCAACTTCTCCTCCAATCATGGAGTTCTCTCTGCTGCATTGAGATACACTATATTGCCAAACGTATTGGGACACCCCTCCAAATCATTGGATTCAGGTGTTCTGTGAAATTTCCTGGCTACTTAATATTACACGGTCAACTGTTAGTGGGATTATAACTAGGGATGCACCGATATATTGGCCGAAAATGGCACATTTGGCTAAATGCCGAAAGTGCCATTTTCCTGCCAATAAATTGGCACATCCCAGGTTTCTCTTCTCCCCGCCAGGCGCTGCTCTGTGTCCCAGCAGGGAGGAGGGAAAGTGACAGCTGGCTGAGTGCTGCGGGAGGAAAGCGCTGTGAGCGGCCGGTGTCTCTCCTCCCACACCGCTCGGCCGCCTATCACAGTGCGGCAGAGCGGTGTGGGGGCAGAGACAGCGCTGTCACAGGAGGCTGGGCTCTCCTCTCGCTCAGCCTCCTGTGACAGCGTGTCAGAGAGGAGAGCAGGCTACATACACTCAGCGATCACTGAGTGTTTGTAGATAATTGAGGACATGGTATGGTTAATATATCCTCAATTATGAATGAATGGGAGTCATCTATATCCACTTCTGTTCATTCATAATTGTGGTTATAGTAAACATACTATATTCTCAAGTTATCAATGAACAGGAACACTCATAGAGGATTCCTGTTCATTGATAATAGGGGATACAGAAAAAGAGATTGAGAACACATAGTCCTCAATCTCTTTTTCTATTTTAAAAGGGAGGAAATATCAGGGGTCTGTTTAGACCCCTAATATTTCCCCAAAGCCCCTAAAAGTAAAGTAAAAAACAAAAACATTGAATAAAAAATGACTCTAGGCACTGGACTCTAGAGAAGTGGAGACGTGTTCTCAGGAGTGACGAGTCACACTTCTCTGTCTGACAATCGGAGATAGAACACCTTTGGGATGAATTAGAGCGGAGACTGTGCGAGCCCGGCCTTCTCGTTCAACATCAGTACCTGACCTCACAAATGTGCTTCTGGAATAATGGTCAAACATTCCCATAGACACACTCCTAAACCTTGTGGACAGACTTCTCAGAGGAGTAGAAGCTGTTCTAGCTGCAAAGGGTGGGCCAACTCAATATTGAACCCTACGGACTAAGACTGGGATGCCATTAAAGATCATGTGCGTGTAAAGGCAGGCGTCCCAATACTTTTGGCAATATAGTGTATATTATTGATTATCTCCACACACTGCGACCCAGTGACAACCCCCCTTGTTTGTAACTGGAAATGTTGTACAGTTCAGTGAACAGCAACTGCAGGATAAAAGCAATGTTTGCAGGAAAATACACAGAGTAGATTTGATGCTTTAACTCTACCCACATGACATTAGTGTTCGGAAAAAAATTGAAGATACAGGTCATTATAAGAAATGTCATTTTAAATAAGGTATATATCTCAATACAATGTGTGAGCACATAAGTAAATCTTATGTAATTAAGCTGTAAAACCACATGCCCATTAAGTACAACCATTACAAATCCTGACAATAATATATGTAAAGTGAAGCCGGACATAAAAGGCATTGGTTCATAAAATACCTCCAACAAACAGTTCAATGCCACCAGCTTCCTGGATCTTCCTCTCAAACTCATCACATTCGGCCTGCAAATCCTCTGCATTCCCATCCAGGATGTGTGCATTGTTGGGGTCAATATCAATATGTTTGAAGAAGTTATTCCACATGTATGAATGGTAGCTTTCTGGGTGATCCCTGGGCAATCCTAGAACACATTCAAGGTGGATACTGATTAAATTACATGTACAGATTGGGAACAGATTTCCTCACATTTTCTGGCCTCGTGATAATGGTCATGAGAACATAGAGAGAGGGTGACTCTCGCCAGCGGTGACCCCAACAGGGGTTCTAACACCTCATCATTCCATCCAAACTAAGTAAAAAGGTTTTAGATTTAGATATACTTTAAATACAAGTCAGCAATGGCAGCTCACATACTTCTATTCTCAGTTTCCTTTTATTGGTTAGGGTTTAGGAAACAGAATAGTTTGGGTTCTTTGGGTTTTTGGAGGTTAAGGGGGGTTTAGGGGTAGATTAACGTTAAAGGTAAGGTTCTAACTAGAACTAAATCATAGGAATGTTAATCGCATTACATTTCTGCTTCTTTAGTCAGCATTCCTCCCCCAGCCTGTGACTGGACAATGAAGAGAGTGGCAGCATACCAATTAGGTCTTCCCTTTGCCCTCCCCTCCTGTGAGCAGGTTCGCTGTGTTACACCTAAAGGAAAGAGGCCACTCCTTTGAAGACAGTCAAGTACGCATCCTAGACAGGGAGGAGGACTGGTTGAAAAGAGGTGTGAAGGAAGCCATTTATGTCAAAATGGAGAAGCCAAGCTTGAATAGTGGG